TTTTTGATAAATTAGCTTTTTAACTGGAGACTTCATACTTGTGGTCGTATCGGTCTCACCACGAGATTCGGAAATAGAGGCTGCGAATGTTGTACCTACTACTGTATATATCACAATTTGAGATTTGGAAATAGTACCTACTGATTTTGCTCATGCTGATTGATCATTTGTTGTATATATGGTGTCGACAAATAAACCTTTAGCTACTGGCCATGCTACAAAATATTAAGTCAATCATCTAGTTATGTCACATAAATTGTTAGCCTTCATATAAATAGTATCCGGCATGTGTACGACATCTATAAAATCTTTAACTGCCTTTGGTCCTAGGTGCAGTCCATTAACCAATGCCTTGCGGTTTTGTGTTTTCCACCGTACCTCAAAAACAACTATAACACCATTAGACAAAGCGAGTAGCTTGCATTCTCCCTATTAAATCATATTCAAACAAGAAATTGTAGGTGTTAATGGTATATAAATCTCAGTAATTATTTATGTTGAAAATTCATATACTATAACAAGAGAACTGTGAGAAGTTTCGGAAAATGGAAGGTTTATTGTGATTTTAGGTTTTGTGACTCTGACAAAAGAAAAGTAATGGAGAGACTTAAAAAGGAGAAAAAGTTAATAAAGAGTACTTTTGTGATTGGTTAATTAGCCGGTGGTGTTATTATTTATCAAATGTTCAAAAGTATTTTCAAATTCTTTCTTCTAATTGGCCAGAGCTATATACCAATCACTATAGCCTAGGGCTTAATACTAATAATTACTTTTTATCAGGTTTTTGAATTAATAGATTTTTATCGGGTAAATGAATGATTTTGCACACACAAAGCAAAAAAGATAAAAATAAAATAAAAGGGTTAATCAATCGTATCTTACCCTTTTAAATTAATTGAATTTGAATTTAAACCTGAAATAGGTAAAGTTGGAAGGTGTTCTTTTGAGGGAAATTGGCCATTTCATACCTAACCTAAACATGAATGTACAATTCATACCTAACATTTTTTTATCTGTCATTATATACCCGAATGTTAGGTATGAATTGAATACTCATAATTATGAAGTGTATTAAATGTTTAATTTCCCGTTTTTTTGTAGGAAAGTTTAATGAACCATTTGAAGAAAAACGAAGTGGAAAAAATTAGTAGGAAACTTGAATGAATACATTATATGTAGAAAAATTGAAGGCGATCATTTGATTGGAAGTTAAAAAGAACATGTTTCCTATAACAAATTTTACAAAAATGGTCCAAAATACCCTTCTACGTTTGTACCACCATCAAATTCTTACCATATATATTTCAAACGGGTGATATCCTACCATCTTCTGTAGGAAAATGGAAAAAAATGGTTTTTTTTACAATTTTGTTATGCTTTTGTTCGTAGGAAATCGGTCAATTTCTTGTAGTTATATATGTGAAATATGGTCAAAACTGATATTTGGTTTACTTTATTCATAGACTTATTATAAAATGGACAAGTATTGGATTACAAAGCATCGTTTATCTGGAGATTAAATGAGTCGAATTAAAGATTGTTTGGATTTTGCATTTGGTGATATTAAGAAAGAGATGATTAAATTTCCTTGTTAGAGTTGCTGCCTAGTTATTGAGGTTGAGGGTCAAGGTTTTCTACCAATATATACAAGTTTGTAGATACATGAAGAACATTTAGATTTCCATGAAGAGACCATCCGATTAGAATCTGAATCCAATGTAGATACTGATGGAAAAAAAAATCTACTTTGAGATGCTTTTCCAAGTATGGATAATAGTTTTAATAAATCTGCTAGTATGCCTACATATCAATCAAAACAAAATGAAGCATTTGATGATTTGTTAGCCGACGATAATCAAGTTTTTTATGAAAGTTGTCAAGGGTCTAACAAATTATCATTTATTGTTAAGATATATCACATCAAATGAATGTCTAGGATAAGAGACAAGGGAATGTCAATGATAATTGACCTTTCGTTAGAAGCTTTTGAGTATGCAAATCTTCCAGATTCATTTAACGATATGAAAAAGATTATCTATAAGTTAGGATTGAACTATGAGTCTATTCACGTGTGTGAGATTCCACTTATATTTCCTTCAGTTCACTTTAAGAAAAATGTGTATTGAAAGCAACAGAAAGATGATGTAATAGGTATATTAGAGCGTTTTCAGTAATCTTTTGGTAGTTGTTATACATACAATAGCGTTATATTCATGTTCTACGATAGGTGGGATACAACAGCGAAGTTTTAGTGCGAATATATAATATTTTCGTTTTATTTTAGAATTTTATAAAAATTCATTTTATGTGCTATATTTGGTCAAACGACGACAAAATTTTGCAACGCTATATTAAATTTGTTGATGGTTAAATTTCAAAGCTATTGTTTTAGATCATTACGTATTTTGTTTGCTATGATAAATATTTTCATAATGCTATCTATTGTTATATTTTAAACATGTTTTCAATAATAAAAATACATTTACATTTCAAAAGCAACATATTTATTCAACTTAAGAAGCTTCAAATATATTGATACAAGTCTCAATCTAAAAGACATTAAGTATACTTGATAAAAGTCTTAATATAAAATAGATTAGTTAGTTAAGAGTCTAGGCAAATTATTCAAACTCGCTAACCTTGACCAATGTGTCTTCATTCCCTATAATAATAAAAATTACCTACATATATTTGGAAACCACTACGAGATGTAAATCAAATCACAAACAACACAATGATTACACCACTTACCAATTTCTTTTGGTATATAAGGCTGCCAATTTTATTCATTTGCTAAGCAATAGATGAACCAAGTGCATCTTTTAGATACTCGATTTCATCTTATGGCCTCCACACTACTGCATCATCTACCATCACTATGTCCACCCAAACTCTAGCTGCATTAGACCCTAAGCGAGTGAAATGGACCATTTGCTCTGGGTTTAGTGAATCCTGACGCCCTTTAGAAACTACCTGCTTCTTTCCACCAATATCCAGCAACTTGACTTTCCTTTTTTCTTTGATAACTCAATCAACATGTTAGGCTGCCATGTTCAGAGAAGTTTACCACTTAATATAGACAAAGTTAAAAGATCCATATTCTGAAAATCACAGGCAAACAATTACCAGAAATCTCCAAGTATGTTTTTGATAAATTAGCTTTTTAACTGGAGACTTCATACTTGTGGTCGTATCGGTCTCACCACGAGATTCGGAAATAGAGGCTGCGAATGTTGTACCTACTACTGTATATATCACAATTTGAGATTTGGAAATAGTACCTACTGATTTTGCTCATGCTGATTGATCATTTGTTGTATATATGGTGTCGACAAATAAACCTTTAGCTACTGGCCATGCTACAAAATATTAAGTCAATCATCTAGTTATGTCACATAAATTGTTAGCCTTCATATAAATAGTATGCGGCATGTGTACGACATCTATAAAATCTTTAACTGCCTTTGGTCTTAGGTGCAGTCCATTAACCAATGCCTTGCGGTTTTG